CAAACTGTCTCATCCCTAATTGTTGTAGATATAATGTATTTATATAATGTTTCAATATAATTATAAACTGTTATTTCAATAACAAACGGATGTAAGGAAAAATGACTATTGGAAAGATATTAAAACAATTTAAGAGCTTTATAAACAATTATAATATTTGCCATACTCAACAAGGGTGATTTAACCTTGTAATTTTAGAGATCCATTGTAATACATTTTATATATTGTCAAGGAGAATAACTCTTATTTATGTTTACAAAATACACAAACCTTCCAGACTTTATAATGTCTTGTATCACTTTCTCAGAAACCGAGATCCGTTCTAAGTGTTTTTACTTTTTTTACTTTTTTCACTTATTTTATACCATTATAAGGTAATACAAGAATTTAGACTTTTTCCTGATGATAAAAAGGTTATAAGTAGCTACTTTGAGTCTTATCTTCATACTTTGCTCCTGTACTTAGGCCACTAGTCTTAATCCCATATTATTGCCTGTTCTGTTTCCTGAGTAAGGCTCCAGCCTTACAATATACTTTCTTATAAAATCAAAGTTGTAATTGAAAGTAGTTGGATTCAAACAATTGAAATTCCAAACTCTTATCTATTGTTAATTGCTGTATCTTTATTTCTATATAATCTATTAAAGCATCATTTCTCTAAACTAGTGTCTTTACTCAGACAGAAATGTGTTTCTACTACCACTTTCTAGTATTTACTAGGCTGACAGCCTGCCATGTTTTCAAGCTTGTTTCTGCATCCTATACTACTTTCACCCTTTTGTTTGACCAGTTACAATACTCTATTGAATTAAATGCTGAATGAAATCCATTCAAAACTGCCTGGTGAGCTACTGTCAAATCAATGTTTCTATTCTGATTGGCTTTAATTTCAACTTTTTTGAGTGTCCTCTTAGATTGTTAAAGTGCTTGGTTGACTCTGGTTACAGCACTACTAGACCCTTCTGGTCTCCTTAATCCTGAGTAGTAATGGTTATTACATGGATGTGACTTAGTATACAATCCACTCACTAACAATGTATTTATTTGGATCATTACTATCTTGCTTGACATCCATTGACTATCCATCATTCTCTACAGCTATAATACAGATCACCTATATGTTAATCCTTAAAAGCAGAGCTAGGGTTTTACTGTTTGTTTTGTGTATAATAACCATTACCTCTCTATTTGCTTCAAACAAGCTTAACAAGCTACTAACTTCATTAATACTTGGAATACTTCCCCTCCCCCTAACACTACTTCTGTTATTGCTAAACTGAAACCTGATAGCTTCTCACCTAATTCTATTTCTGTTATTAATACACATGCCTTTACTAGCTCCCCCCCTTTTTAGCTTTAGTCACACAGTTTTTCTCCTCATCTCTCTCTTTATTATTACTCTTACTCTTGGCAGATATACTCTCTATAATACTATCTGCTATATTTAACTTAAATACATCATCTAATGTATATTCAATTACTCTAGTACTTTGTATATCCTTATTAAATATACATAGTAACTCTTATATAAAACTGTGTGACCCTATGTTTGTCTCTACAATTAATAAGTCTGATATTATTTTATGTTAAGAATCTTACTTACACTCACAAGAAGAAGATACTCTCTCTATCCCTTCTGGCTATAATATTCTTGATCTCTCTAGACTATTATACCCTTCTCTTTCACAACTAGGTAGAGGTGTGTTTGCTATATTTAAACATACCCTCCCTATATATTACAGAACTAACCTCTCATCAACTAATATTCAAGTTCTACTACTTAACAATACTATTATTATAAATGCTTACATTCCTCCAGAATCTTCCAAATAGTATTTATAGACTAAAATAAACCTACTCCTTCAACTTTCTCAGACTCTAGCCTTATACTCTACTCTAGACTCTCCTATTATTTTGTGTAAAGATCTTAATACTAGAACTGTCTCTCAGTAATCCTCTAAATTTCCTGACCTTCCCAGAATTTCTTGTAATCACTCTATTAATACAAGAGGAAGAAACCTGTTACAAACTCTCTCTGACTGTAATCTCTTCATATTAAATAGTACTCAAATCTCATCTGACCTATCTGGGAATTTTACTTCCTTTCAAAAACAAGGCTCCTCTGTTATTAACTATTTTATCCTCTCTAATCACTCTATAAAACTCTCTCCTACACTATCTATTACTAGACTACCTTACTCTTTCTCAGACTATACACTACTTTAATTCTCTCTATCAAATTTTATCTCATTTCCCTCTTCTCTCTCTTTACTACTTAATTCTTCTAATCTTAATAACTCTTCTCTTTTAATTTCCTCTCAACCTCTTACAGAACTTGACTCTTTATTATATAATACACTAAATTCTGCCAACTCTGACCCTCTTCATTCCTCTCTCTTTAGCA